TAACTTAAGTATCAGAATGCATTTGACAAAGCACTACACCGACGTTAGTTTTCTGTGTGCAAGTATTAGGACTTTGAAGATGAAGGTGTACGTGACACCTTTGTAGCACCTACGTGGACCTCACCCAAAAAGCGGTAAATAGATTTCAAAAGTGCAAGGATGGCATTAAACATTTAGGCATATTTTATAATTTCGTACCAAAGTGATCAATTTCAACTTTAAAATTTGAACTTACCAAATTAATTCTCTCTAATCAATTACATTTTTGTTGTTCTAGAGACCTGTGATTGAATAGGTGCGTTCATATGTTATCTTGTATCAAAACAATTACCATTCACATAGATCAACAAATACCATATTATATATAAAAATAATAATAATTGTACTTTTGTCATATTTACCAGTTGAGTTACTATATTTACAATTGTGAATTTGGCTTGAAGACGGCCCACTATGCTATAATGATGGGCCAATTGAACCAACTTTAGCCCATTTATTGACAATGACATAGCTAGCTCAACATTGAAAAGGAATGGGAAGAAAAGTACATTAAAAGGTTAGTTTTGAAATAAATAATTAAATATTGTTGGACAATATTAAAAACTATAAGCAACAAACTAAAATAAATATGCCACAACTTTCATCAAGTCAGGATGGCCGAGTGGTCTAAGACGCCAGACTCAAGTTCTGGTCTTCGAAAGAGGGCGTGGGTTCAAATCCCACTTCTGACATATTTATTACTATCTTACTATTTTTTTTAAGTTATTTTTCTTGGTTTTTAAAAACCCTAACAAAACAACAAAATAGAAAGTAAATGTTTTATTCTAAATTTAAAAAAATAACACAAAAAAAAATTAGAAAAAAAAGTCCTTTAAAAAATAGACATTATTTCATTTGTTCAAAATAACAATAATGAGTCCAACAATAATATTAACACCACTTTTGGTAATATTTTTTCATTTGATTGGTTAGTTACTTCTCATTTTTCATGTGGTTTAGTATTTCATTAGTTGTCCTAAGTTATTCTCTTAATTAAAATTTGACTAGAATTTAAAATAAAATTGTTTATAAGTATACACCACAAAAGCAAATAAATTATCTCGAAAGCTGGAATATCAAACTTGTAATTTAACTTTAAAAATAGTTAATTAAATCCATTACAATAAAAAGTAAAAGTGTAAAAAAGAAAAAAGATAGCACAAGAAGATATATAATATAAGTCATGATCAATCAAGCAAATAATTAAGTCTCAACTCAAAAATCCATTATCTTGTTGCTTTCATCATCAGATGAAAATCTTGAAAATTCACAAATCCATCTCCATCTTTGTCCACACTCCTTCAATCATTCTTTTGCCATCTTTCAACCCAAATTTTCTCCACCCAAGTTTGCTCAAAATCCTCCTCAATTCTTCAGCACAAATCTGCCCATTTTTGTAACAATCAAATAGAGAAAAGGCTTCCATAAGAACATCATCATCTTCTTCCTCATGTTCACAAACCCATCGCGGTCCGAGTCCATTTCGCTTGCGATTTCGTCTACTTCTTTTGAAGCTTTGAGCTTCTTATTGTAGCCTAAAGGATGGAGAAGTTGATGGAGCTCTCTTTGATTTAGATCTTGAGGTTGCCATAGGAAGTGGTGAAAGAATTAGGGAGCTTTTGGTTGTTGAACTTTAGGGTTTTTTGGAAGTAGGGTTTGGAGGTGATTTTTCTATGGAATGTTGTGAAGGAAGATTTTAGAGAATTGAACATAACTTGAGAGAGAGGAGAGATGGTACTTTGAAAATTTTGAGAATAGTGTGGGTCGTGAGAGAGGAGAAGTGATGTGTTCATGTTTCCTATAACTTTTTTTTCCTTCTTTTTAGATAACCTAGAATCGATGTTGTATGGTTTAGCTAGTTGGATCTTTATAATCGGACGGTGTCAACGGCCACTCAACACTGTAATCGACGTTGTGGGACTCATCCTAAATAAAAGGTGGAGGGAGGGAAAAATTCTGACTATATGCACCATGCGGGCTCGAATCGGAGAAGGGATACCCCATTCGACCACAAATCCACTGCGCCACCACGGCATGAATTGCAAAAATTTGTCTATTGCAATAATTTATTAGTGGTGGAGGCAGTGCCCCACCAAATTGTGAGGACTATTTGTTTTGGTGGACTTTGTAAAGGAATTTTGAGATTGGCAGTAAGTGAATTGATCGCCACTATAAATCAATTTCAACACCCATTCTAGGAACCATTTCATTTTCATTTTTTTTATAATTATCCTTCTTTGATTTGTAATGATCTATTTTTATAAACGTGGTTTCAGAAAATTCTAAACAAATTCTCCTAAAGACTAAACAGAATTGTTAAAATTTTGTTTAATCAAATTTAAGAAAAATGTAACTTTTGGCAATTTTTCATAATGAGGGTGGTAAATATAGAGACATGTTGGGAAATGAGTGGAGCCAAACACTAAAATTAAAAAGGGCTTGCAAGTTGTTGGGCCAAAAAAGAAATCACAATACCCAACTATTATTTCTTCACCAAGTTAGTTTACTGCCATACTTATACATGTATAAGTGTTTTCTTGAACCTAGCCGTGAAGTTTTGAACACATATATGAGTCGCGGAAACGGTGTTCTTTGGCAAAGAAGAAAATGGAGAACGTTGGTTTTTAGAGCATTGTTGGCAATCCATTGTCGTGAGGTTAGTGAAGTTTTTCTGTATTCTAAGTATCTATTGGTGTAGTACTTTAAAAACTAGGTAGTCATTGCTGTGGCATCTACAGACAGTTTTATATAGCGTTTTGTGAGCTCTATTGTATGTTTTCCAAATCATAGTAGACTCTGCGTGTAGCGGAAGATTGGACGTAACCCGTGGTTGAGTGAACCAATATGAATTTTGTATCGTTTCTGTGCTTTCTTTCCTTCCTTATCGTAATTTAGTGCATTCGCTGAATAACCATTGGGAGGGGAAGGTTTCGTTGTTAGCTATTTTGTTATGCGTATATATTTCCCACCAAGACACTCATGGGCATTGTTAATATAATGGGCTCTCTAATTGTTGAGAGGCAACACACATAAGAAGACTTCAAGATGGCATGGGCATTGTAGCCGAAAGAGCTTGCGAAATCATGTAAGTTGATGCTGAAATCCTGTCATGATCGAGCTTATGAGCGAGCTTCGTAAAGGAAGACCTCGAGTATATATGATCGAGCTGGCGAAGTGAGCTTTATGAGGGTAGACCTCGAGTATGACCAAGCTTCGTGAGGAAAGACCTCAAGCATGGCCAAGATTCTAGAGCGAGCTATGCAAGAAAACCTACATGCAATCTCAAGTCGGTTTAAAGCTCAAACTAAGTAAGTCAGTTCCAGACAGAATTCCACACTCTGATTGAGAGGAGTACGTGGATGCCTTTTTATAGGCGGATAGAGAGATACTAGTCCTTTATGGCCATTCCAACAAAAGCGGTAAGGCGGTTAGGGGCTATCGGCCTTTAGGTTGGACATAGCGAAGCTCATAAATACGTCTTTACGAAGATCATCATAGTTGGTCGAGCTTCAAGATCGGCATCTAATTTTTTCAAGGCTCAAGATGATCTATTCTTATATCATCACATGGTAGGTCATATTTTTACCTCTAACAACATAGGTCTACAAGTGTAAATAGATGAACCAAGAACATTTTCTCACTCCTTACTGTGCACCACAATTCGTGCCATATTCTTCTCATAGGGATGAGGTGATGTAATGAATATAAGGATAAATAAAAAGATAAAATATGAAAGTCGAGTGTGAAGATAGGACGAATCTAGTAAGGCGATTAGATTTTTCCATAGAATTAGACAATAACTTTCAAGTCGATTTACATATTATTCCTCGACAGGTCAACTCTATATAGTTGACTAACTTTCATATTAATATTAAATTTGAGCAACGTTTAAAAAAATTATTTAGTTCTATTTTTGTAAAATATCCTAATCATCTACACATTTCAAGATCAAAACATAGTAAAAGGCCCGAGTAATAAAAGTGGTGCAAAAAGAGCTCAAGCTCAGTTCCATATTGGGCTTGGCCCAACATAGTAGTGGTAGGAAAGAGTAATTCTGATTTTGAGTTTATAGCCCATTTCAAAATTTTAAGAAATATACTTTTCAAAAATAAAATAAAAAGGTTATGCCACAATTTTATCAAGGATTTGAATGTATTTTCATAGTTTCAAATTTTATGATAATATCAATTAAAATATTACGATGCAAAATTTTGCCTCTTCCTTACAAAAAAATCTCTAAATCTCTAGATGTTACGTAAACAAGAAAGATGATATTCATATCAAGGTTGAAATTATATCCGTAGTCCATATATTTTAAACTTAGTTTCAATTTAATCCATATATTTATAAATATCTCACCATCATCTACACCATTCGCCTGGACATTTTTATACCTTTTAAGCGAAGACAAATGCGTTGAAATTAAACCCAATAAAAATTCAGGACTCGTCACACCGTCAAAAGTTACTAAAAAAACTATACTCTTTCATGGTGTTTTTTTCCCCTAATATATTCATAGATAACCTATTTTCAAGAACATTGAAACCAAATTAAAACTAAGGATAAAGTAAAAATACTAAAAAAAAAAGTAATTAAACCTCCATACAATCAATACAATTCTTGAATAAAAATAACAATTAGTATACAATTTTGATTTTTTTTTTCCTTTAACAATATTATCGCTCAAATCGAACAAGAACGTAATTTAAAGTTGACAAAGAAAAGAGAATAAAAATGACCTTTTTAAAAAAGAAAATGCTAGCTACATGTATAACTAGTTTATTTGTTTGACATATTTTACTTAAAAAAAAAGAAAATAACCCACATTTAAACAGAGAAAACAAGAGAAGGTAAAATAAATAAATAAAATAAAAGGTTGGGTTATTCATATATTTTTTTTTTCTTCTTCTTGCTCTTCAACTCCAATCAAATATATTTAAAAAAAGAAAAAGGAGAAAAAAAAAACCAAACTCAAGCACCCTGCAATTTTCCAGTAAAATTTTGACAAAAGAGGAATCAAAGAGGCAAGAAAAAAAGGGAAAAAAAAAAAAAAAGATCGTCCTTTATGGATCCGTCTCATTTGGAGAGGGACGGCGGTGACGAGGCGTCGGAGCACGGCGGAGCGCCGTGTCTATGGAGGAGTTCACGGGCCAAGGCCTGAAGATCGCCCTCTCCGGCCGCCGTGGACGAGCCGCCGCCGCCGCCAAACTGGCGGTGGTCGAGCCGTTGTTGCATGGCCCATGCAGGCTGGGCCATGGGGTCGAAGAGGGACGACAAGTCGTAAGTTGCCGGCAAGGAGGAGGCCGACGGCAGGTCGGAGATGGACAGCGGCGGTTGCGCCGGGAAGCTTGGAGGCGGCGGCGGCGGCGGGTTCGGCGGCGACGGCAGCTCCAGTGTTGCTAGATGTGCTTGAAGGTAAGACAGCTCGGCTTGTAAATTCACAACCTGCAAAAGTTTTTAATTGACATATTACACCACAAAAATTACTCAATAAATCAACATATATTCAAGCTTCTAATTCAATTAAATTTTTAACAAAACTACAAATTTCGTCATGAAGTTTGAGAATTGTCTAACCAGTCCTTATAGGTTGAAGAGTATACGAATTATCTAATAAGTTTCTAAATTTTATAACCTATCAAAATAGGTCCAGTATTTTTCATAAAAAGAAAAAAAAAACCCTCGTACTTTCAATTTTACATCTCAAGTCAAAGATCTACTAAACTCAAAATTGAAAAATAAAAAACTTATCAAACAGAAACACTTTTAAACTAGTGTTTCTATTTAGATATAACAAAAATTTAAAAAACGTTCAAAGTTCAGTAATAAACTTATAATTTATCCTAATACAAATTAGTATTTATTGCCCTCAAGAGGCAACCCCATTAACAAAGACACGGGACCTTTTGTGGGATCACCTACCCTCAAGTCTTAATATAAAAAATCTTTAATATCTCTCGGATCTAAGACTTGGGATAGGTGCATATGCATCGGTTAGAGGTAAAAAGGTAAAGAGATGATGATTTTGGTTGCATTATAAACAACAAAAAAAAAACTATGTATGTAATCAGTTTCTAATATGATTTCTTTGTTTTGTAGCCTACATTTAAAATGTTTTGTTTATTGTGTTTAATTAATTAAAATTGAAATTTGAAGATATTTCAAATATAAAGTAAACACATTTTTAGTAAATAATCTTACTTCAATTTAGGGCTTGAGTCTTAATCGCTAAAAATAGGAAGCTAAACAAAAGCAAACTATCAAATCAAACCTTAATCTTCCTTTTTTCCTTCTACAGTCTTTTTTTTTTCTTTTGTCTTTTTTCCTTTTAACAATTGGAGGTTACATTTTTGTATTA